AGTGAGTGAGTGAGTGAGTGAGAGAGAGAGAGAGAGAGAGAGAGAGAGAGAGAGAGAGAGAGAAGTTCGTATTGTTTTATAATTGTTTTACAAACTGTAAACAAAATGCCTGGTCTATTAGACATGTATGTAAACATTTTATTTATCATTTTACATTGGTTCGTCCCTTACGAGTTCCTTACTATTTGTTTGATAAGGAACTCGTAGGGGACGAACCAATGTTAATCATTGTTTAATACAAGTTACTTTTTGTTTTTACGTATTAATTTTTAATTAAAATGTTTAACATAATTAAAATGCAATATTAATCAATAATTATTACTAACCCACAAAATAAACACTAACTTCCATTACAATTAACACACACTTTATATATACAGTCAAACCTCCGCGAAGAGGGCCTGGAACTGGAATACACGGACGACGTGGCCGGTTATGGGTACGTGTTTTGCAAAATATACACCCCGTGGCCAGTGATGTGCCGGTACGCGGAAGTGATGAAGCTGAAAATGCCAATGAAAACCATACAGACCTCGTGGAAAATGTTATTTGACGAAGATGAGGATCATGCGATGCGATTCACCGCGGCGTTTTCCCGGGACAAGGATTATCTGTTTGACATACCCCCGCAGAAAGAGCAATTTTTTAGCACGGCACAACGCGCTCAGGTGGTCGAGTTCATTTTGAAACGCAAAAGTTTCTCGCCCAATTTGAATGACGCTAATGAGTTTGGTATTAGTAAATTGCTGAATGACAATATCTATATCGCCGCCTATCCGTTACATGAAGGTAATTATGCATTAATTATGACATTTGTAATTTTACTGTATTATTGTTAGTGGTGTAACACACAGGGTGCATTTGTCATTTAATTTGTTTCGCAATTTTTACATGTTAACTATTACTATTTAATTGGCAATAACTAGTTCATTAAATGAAGTACAAAAACTATTTACTAACATTTTATTAATTTAAAATTCACCATAATAAATTATTCGCAGTCAATATAAAGTACATTAAGTCCTGATAATCTTTACATAGAAAAACTTTATACTTATACAAGTACATAATAAAAAAATTATTTGAGAATCTATCAAACAAAATCATTTAATAATAAACACTACATTTGAATAACTATGATTAATTTATAATTAATTTACAATTATCTAACCATGGTAAAGGCAAAGTAAACTCGGACATGCGTTCGCCGCGACGGCAACTGCTGGAGTCGTGGGCGTCGGTCTCGCAGGCGTTCAAAAAGCAACCGCTGGACGAAATACGTAAATATTTCGGGGTTAAAATAGCCGTCTATTTTGCCTGGCTGGGGTTTTACACCTCGATGCTAATACCCGCGAGCATAGTGGGCGTACTGTGTTTCCTATTCGGCTCGGCCACCCTGGACACCGACATACCCTCGAGGGAAGTGTGCAATCGTACCTACGATAACATCTCGTTGTGCCCCCAGTGCGCTCATGATTGTAATTTTACCAAGTTGTCCGAGTCGTGCGCCTACACCCGCACCAATTATCTGTTTGACAATCCGGCCACGGTGTTTTTTGCCATATTTATGTCGCTGTGGGCCACCGTGTATTTAGAAATGTGGAAACGCTATTCGGCCCGTATTACCTATCGCTGGGATTTGTCTAATTTTGATGCCGTCGAGGAGTATCCCAGGCCTGAGTATTTGGTAAATTAATTTTTTTATAATCACCGTAGTACATTTGTATTATAATAGTTTTTAGAAATTTATAAAGTGAAAGTTATAATTAATATACCAAAATTACTTTATTTATTTATTGCTTATTTATTAAGCTAGTTGATTTTAGTTGAAAGGAATTGCATTAAGTTAACATAAATTAAAATACATGTAATATTAATTTGTAAAACTCTGCGAGTTAATTGTTTTACAAATTAATTATACTCTCTAATTATAACATGCACAATTACAAATTAAATTAACTAAACATAGCACAACATAATATTTACACACTTATGATAATAAATTAATGTACCCACAAAATAGGCCCGGCTATCCAACGTGACCACCAAGAAACTGAACGTAATCACCCGGATGTACGAGCCCTACATACCATTCTGGCGCCGACAACTGCCCTACACCATACTCTCGGCCTCCGTAGTCATATTCCTAATATTCGTAGCCCTCGGCGCAGTCATGTCGGTCATAGTATACCGCGGGTCAATCCGGGGTGCGTTGAGTTTTAAACGTGAAAGTAACAGGGTCAGCGAATTGACCTTCATCAATAAATACTCGTCCATTATAACGGCGTCGACAGCCGCCTGCCTTAATCTCATATTGATCCTGATACTAAATCAGATCTATTCGCGCATTGCCTATTATTTGACCGAGCTGGAAATGCCGCGCACCCAGACCGAGTTCGATAATAGTTTGACGCTGAAAATGTTCGTGCTGCAATTTATTAATTACTACTCGTCGCTGTTGTACATTGCGTTTTTCAAGGGCAGATTTATTGGCCACCCTGGTGAATTTAATGACGAGTCACTTACCCAGGAGGAGTGCGGCACAGGTATGTTTGCTATTGTGGGAGAGTGACCTAGTAATTATACATTGTAACTTATAACATTAAAACTTATAATGTAACTTTATAATTATACATTGTATAAGTTTATATAGTGTGTTGTATTCGTTGTTTGATTTGTTTCCAATTATGTAACTTTTAATTTATTTGTTTTATAATTTGAATTTTATTTTTAATTTTGCTTTTTTAATATGTCTTTATTTATTTAGCATGATGAACCCACAATATGGCATGAGTGCATTTTTTCACAATTTAAATTTACTGAATACACTGAATATTTCACTTTTATTTTAATTCAAAATTATAATTGCACTTATACAATACAACAATTAACTACAACAAATATCTGCAAAATCAGCAAGACAATTCACATCAAAAACAAACACACAAATCTAAACACAAAACAACAAAAAACATACATAGTAAATACCGTACGTTACATACATAAATTCAACCAAACATCATTGTTATTTAAATAAATAATGACATACAAAATACTTACACACGGTAATTGCACAGGTGGTTGCCTACTGGAGCTGGCCATACAGCTGTCCATCATAATGGTGGGTAAGCAGGCGTTCAACGCGCTCATCGAAATGGGAACCCCGGTATTCAAGCGGTTCTACAAACGCTGGAAATACCGTAAAGAGGACTCCATTGAGACAATGAATGTCCCGCAATGGGAGGACGACTACGTGCTGGCCAACTGGGGGCCCACCTCGTTATTCTACGAGTACCTCGAAATGGTTATTCAGTTTGGTTTTGTTACTATTTTTGTTTCGGCCTTCCCGTTGGCACCTCTATTCGCGCTGATTAATAATGTGTTTGAGATCAGGCTCGATGCCAGAAAAATGATCTTGGCGTTTAAACGCCCCGTCGCCCAAAGGTAATCATAAAATTTTCATGTGATAATTAACTCTGGTGCTAGTTTAATAGTTGTAGATAGCATGCTTGTTATTTAATTTATTGATTCTAATTATACTATTCAAATAATTATTAAAGTATGCTATACATTAAACATACATGTAAATTTGTAATTTATATAAGGTTCTACTATTTATATACAGTAGTATTTATATACTATGATAAATTAGAGTATTAATTATGATAATAAATAAAATATTTTATTTCCACATTTTGCACTAGGGTGAAAAACATTGGCATTTGGTACCGCATACTGGACTCAATCGGCAAACTGTCCGTGATCACAAACGCCCTGATTATAGCATTTACCACGGAGTTTGTACCCCGATTGTTATACTATATAGAGAATGGTAATTTGCATCAATACACTAACTCGACCCTGTCATTTTTTGATGCCAAACGGGCCAATGAGCATCTCAAACTGGGGGCCGATAATGACACACTGGATAACTGTGTGTAAGTATTATAATTAAATCACATTGATCACAGATTTACTAAATTTATCGAGCACATCACAATAATTAAAATCACATAAACACACATACAAGGTACTATCAAGGTGAATCGAGGTTAAAATAAATAAATAAAATATATAAAATGTATATTCTAAATAAATAAATAAAAAACACGCTAACTAAATTAATAATTTAATTAAAACTAGATACGCCGACTACCGGGAGCCACCATGGGCGGAACCGGGCCGGGCGTACAAACTCACAGCGTACTACTGGCGGCTACTGGCCGTACGGCTGGCGTTCGTGGTAATATTCGAGAACGTGATCGCCTCGCTAACCTCGCTAATGCGCTGGGTCATACCGGACGTGCCGCAACAGCTACAGCAACAAATGCGCCAGCACGCCTACCTCACCAACGAGCTCATTATGCAACAGGAGTACAAACGTGCCAAAGAGCTAGGTGGGAGTCACGTGGCCGCCGCGTTCGCATCTAGGCGCAATCGCCAGGACACCACGGTCGATGGGGAGCAGCATGTTAAACGCCGTATCAACGCTACCACTGTTATTAACGCTAACTCCCAGCCCCCGCCCCCACCGGTGCCACCCCCGACCGCACCCAACTCTACCATAGTTCGTGATGATGATGGTGAACAGGTGGTAGATATGTGACGCTGGAGTACCGGTAGAGATAGCCCCGTCCCGCCCCGACCCTGTTATTCTGAACCTCGTTGAGATTCGCTTATTATGGGACTCCTATTGTGTTGTATACATGTATAAAACTTTATACATGATAATGAGGTGCCTCGCTATAAAACTATTTTTGCAATCAATATGGTGATTTATTTATTAAAGTTCATTATTACGGGAGGTGGGCGTATATTATAATTGTGTGCGATTAATTATTATGCGTTATATATAAATATATAAATTGTTAATTAAATTATCTGTTTGAAATTTTTAAATAACTATTTTTTTGCCATCATAAAATAATTATGAAATAATTATAATGTATTTTTTTCTCTATCATAAACATATATTTGTTAAAATTGTTTGGATTTTCATAACATTTAAATTGAATTAATAAATAAATTTTAATTTCATAAATAAGTAAAATCTCGTTATAAAAATTAATTTAAAAAATTCAACTAGAATAAAACTTTAGTATAAAATATTGAAACTGGTACAATCTAGTTAATTAAAATAAATATTAATTAGTTCAAATATTGGCTAATTATTAAACGTAATTTACCATAAACTAGATAACAAAAATTAACTACTTTCAACAAGGTAAATTAATTAAAACAAAAACAACCAAGCTAAACCACACAATAATTGAACCAAGTGCAAAAATTTAATCAATTTGCCATAACTACACAAACGAGCCATAGATGGCAATGGCATCGATAATAACCATACAATCAGTACAAAGCCATACAAAAAGCATTGACTACATAAATAACGTGCCATTAATAACGGCATAACACATGTCTCTCCCATAGACTGCCATTCAAAGCGCAAAACACACGTTAAGACACATAACAACAACACAACACCGCTATTGTCTTTAGCACCGGATCCGTTGGCCATCACCACCACGTGATAGCGTGTGACCATCGCTACAGACACTACATCACCACTTCTACAGTCGACTGTCGATGAAGACAACGCCCGCTGGTATGGCGGCCAAGAAGAGAGGGGCTGAGAGACAGCTAACGATGGATAACTACGACGACGACGAAGAGGCAGATGACGGTCAGGAGGAAGATGTCGGCCCCCGAGTGGCCCCACAAGAGGTGCTGAAACAGCGGCCGATGGCTAAGGCCAGGCGCCGGTCCGATTTGAACGTTTCCGGCCCCACCGCTGATGACGATAACGATGGCGAGACTGAGCCCAAGAAGTTGTCGGCGTTTAAGGGCTTTACCGGCTTTAAAGGTACGGCCAGTTGTGTCCACTACTCACTTGTTGTGTACAATATAGCGAGTGTTGACTGTATTTGTCTTTTTCACACCATATCTTAGGCTTCAGCGCAAACCCATTGCAGAGCTCGGCGTTTAAGACACTGTCGTCGACACCGATCGGCGCCGGCATCGGCTCGACCTCTACTATCACCTCAACACCTGTGGCAACGGTTCCGGCGGCGACGGCCACTAGTGGTCAGACAAACGGCGCGGACAACAACAACACCACCGCCGCAGTCGCTAAGAAGCCAACGCTGATCACCGGCGACGACGAAGACACCGCCGAAGACGTGTACGACCGACAGCTGTCGAAACTGAACAAATGCTTTGCGGATCACATCCAACGATACCTCCAGAAGTCGTACGCCTATGACTTCACGCCCGTCTGTCAGGAGTACATCCAATACCACAAGAAGATTGAGTCGGCGGTCACCGGCGCCGCGACGGCGACCACTAAGTTTGTGGCGGACATTAAACCCATGACCAAAGCCAGCGTTGGTCTGTTTGGTAGCGCCGCCGGTAAAGACTTGTCCGCTGGAAGTGACTCAAAGCTGTTGACCACCGGTGGCACCGGTTTCGGCGCGCAAACACCCCTAACCTTTGGCCTCACGAGTAAACACACCTCTCAATTGATTGATTCAATTAGTTATCTATCGTTTTTGGTACTAATTATATGTCTACTGTTTTGTTTTACAGATACACAGCAGTCATCCCAGTCGAGCACCTGTAGCTCTATCGGCGCCGGCGGATCGCTATCGCAGGCCTCGGCCACCGATAACACCGTCGGGTTCTCGCTATTCAAGAATCCGGGCGCTCAGTCGACGCCATCGTTCGGCGGCTTTGGCGCCAACAGTAAGCCCTTTGGCAGCGGCGGCACCGGTAGTCTCTTCACTATGGGTACTGTCGAGAGTCAGTTCGGTAAGAGTTCGGGCGCCGGGAGTCAGTCGTCGGCTACAGACAGCGGCGTTGGCGGCGAAGAGGAGAGCGAAGAGCCGCCCAAAGTGGAGTCCGTTCAGCATAAGGAGCCCGACTCTGTTTACACCAAAAAGTATAGCTCTCTCACAGTCTCTCTCTCTATCTCACTCATGTGTTTTTTCTCTCTAACACACTCTCTCTCAACCAATAGGTGTCGGCTATACTACAAACGCGAAGACAATTGGGTGGACAAAGGGTTGGGCTATCTCTACATAGTTCAGGACCAGAAACCGGGCGCACCGGCGGCCAAACCCCAACTCCTAATCCGCGCCGACAACACAATGGGCACAATCCTATTGCACATCGGTTTAGTGGACTCGTTGCCGGTGATGCGCGCGCCCGGCAATAAGGGCGCACTGTTGACGTGCGTACCGCACCCGCCGCTCGACCCCAAGGCCGCAGAGGGCTCACAGACGTCGGTCACCTTCTGGATCAAAGTCGGCCCCAATAACAGCGAAGAGGTGTTTAACGCTTTGGTTAAATATAAGGCCAATTAATTGCGTAATTAATTGTGATTTAATTAGTAATTAATTAATGTTTTTT